CAGAATCAGAAATACTTTAATAATCCCAGGGGGAAATTATTTATTTAAAACAGCTCCCCTTTCAGTCTATTAAAGTCATTTTAGTGGTTTACTGAATTCACATATTCCTTTGACACGCACAATTTTCTTTTGTTTGATTTATCTGGGGGTTCCCAGTTGAGTTCCCAAACAGAAATTATGTTTACAACTAATTGTTTGTATTTATTTTCAGCAATAAATCTTATAGGTACACTATCAAACTGTATTCATTCTTTGGTGGGAAAGTCCAATATTTCAAACATAACTGCTAAACAGTACTGCATTCAATTTGTTGGAAAATCAAACCCAGACGACAAACAGCAAGCAAACCTCAACTGTTATTTATCAGCTCTGCAAGTGGGACATACAATGTTAGTGCTTTGCCAACTAGATTCCAGTTATGAAATACATATTTTAGTAATTTGGACTTGGACCGTATTGATCGTCATTGAGAAATGTTCTCTTTCCTTTCCCGCTGCTCCACAGGAACATCAGACGTCAGCTTCTGCTATACAGCACATTCAGAATCTAGCTAAAGGGCGCCTCATCAAGATGAATGTTCGCCACATTGTTCCCCAAAATATGTAGCAATGTTTAGTCTGCTTGTAATCCGGGCCTTCTGTCTCTCTCTCCCCTGGCCTCATTAAACAAATCTCCATCCTGTCTCCCGCTCTGCCAGTTGGCCTGGTGGCTCAGTTGTGTACAAACAAAACCACAAATAAACACAGAATGGATGCAGCCACATGTCCCGCTCCAAGTTCTCGTTTGATCCCAATGTAAAAACGGCTCCAAAGGAACAGTTTGCAGTTTTCTGTACATTATACATATTTATGTTTGAAAATGGCTTGTGCATACATCAGTGTTCTTCCAGCGTTTACTACGCTCTTTATTTCTCTCAAGATTTTTCTTTCTTGTAAAGAGTTTGGGTTGATGGTTTCTGTAACATGTTGGATTTTTAATCCTTTACCCTCTCATTTATAAATTATTATGGATGGGAATTAGAGCTTTAAACTTCCATCTGGTTGACTTTATACTGCATATAATTTACATTAATGTGTTTATATAAAGAAGTTCTTATTTTCTGCAAAACAAAAATTGCTGCATTTTCTTATAGTTGTTTCATTATTTCATGTGTTTTGAAATGTACTCAATTTCAGTGGGAATGAAGTTGATTTATGGCTATTATGCATTTTCTAATTGCCCTTAATATTGATCCAACTCATACTAACAAACATATCAACTTCAAATCAAGCTTGCTTATTATTAATAATAATTTGTTGGTTTAAACCACATCCACCTCTGTTGAAGCAGATAATAAACTAAAATGGTAGCACATTAGATATGAAAAAAGCTCCATTAAAAATAAAAGGGAAACAGCAGTTCACCATGAGAAAATGACCTATATTCAAAAGCAGCCTTTATCGTTGAAAATTAATCTAATGAATTTTGACATGACGTCTGTTACAAACAAGCTTCTGTCAAATACATAAGGATTGTCAGCTGTCTAAAATGTCAACTTTTCATGGAATAAGAACAGCTTTTTTAAAGCTTAAACAGAGTCTTTAGGGTTTTTTAGCTTTACATAGCATGTCGGCAACAATGCCACAAAAACAGCATTTAACCCTTCAGTTTATCTGGAAATCCTAAAAATCACACACACAATGAACTGATTCCAGCAGTGAAAGTTTTTCCATATTTAAGAATTCCTATTCCTAAGAGACCCTCCTATCCTACAGTAGGAACACCATTATATGCTGTCACATTTCCCAGATGGCAGCATCATTTGAACCCATTTCAGTGTTGTGAAGCATAAAACACTCACGTATAAGAGTATATTTCTCAACCTGTGAAGATGAACGCAGCAAAGCACCAAAAGTGTATAACTGAGCTACGAAGACCATAACTTACACAGTGCGGTTCGTCTGAACGTAGTCAAGTTGATATTTATCTTCTGCTCAACAGGGACTTAAATGACTCAAAGCACATGTGATACTGGGCTTGTGAAAGATCAATAAATAGTCGTCAATAACTTCCCCAAAGCTCTCCTTACAAACATGGCTCTCCTACATCTTTGTTTCCGCCAGAGAGCATAAGCAGCACACTGTCACACTCACAGAACCGCAGTGAGAACAGCTGAGGGTTTAACGCCGCAATGTGGCAGCAATTTTGGGTTCCGCTCTGGCGAGAATCTGTAGCCTGTTTCCTTTTGAAAAGCCCTAAATGTCCGAGGCTGTCGGGAAGGTGCATTTCACGGCCAGTTTGGCAGCAGGAAGTGTCTTCGGTCAGGGTGTTTGTGTAAACAGCTCGTAATGGTTTTAGCCCCGCTGTGAGGCCTCTGAGGCGCACACACATACATTTGTACATATACACAGATACATATAAACAAAATGTACGTAGTGGTTCATGTTACACACCCCTACACACACAAGCATACGTGACTACTTGCATGTGTGCCACAGACATTCATTCTTGTAATTCAAAAGTAGTGAAGCCTATAGACTGTATACAAATGAGACCCATTATGGCTGTCAAATGCACTTTATCTTCCAGCTGATTTTAACTAAATGTGCTTCTTGCTCTTGAAAAGAGCTGCATTGACTGTTGTTGTGCACTATTGTCACATTTAAATTTGTGTGTGCAAGGCTTTTTGCACGAACCAATTACAGTTATATATTGGAAGCTGTGTCACGTCCATCTTTTGTGCTGCTAAATGCTCCTGCTTGAACAAATTAGTGTAATGCATAGCAGAAAACTGAGCGTATTATCATTGTGTTTTGCTTCATGTGTCTGGTTTAATTGATCGTAGAGAAAATGACTGTGGAGTAGATGTGTTAGCCAAATTGGCTTTTTGTATCAATTAACATATAAAATGAACCGATGTTTCAATCCATTGTGTTTTTCCTTCATGTTAACCTTGATTCTGTAACTGTATGTCATCACTGTCCTGTGTGAACCACCTATCTACAACAGTTCAATAGCTAGCCCTGTTTTTAGCTTTGTGACAACTTTTTTTTTTTTTTTCATCCCATGGAGTTTTGAAGTGAATCTGGTGTCCTGTAACCTGACCTGGACCTGTAATTAGCCATGTCATTTATTTTGGACCAAATGTCATGGACACTAATTTGCAACAACAAACACGTTTTAGGGCAGACATAATGTTGACTGGATTACGTTTTGTGTTAACATTATGAAAAAATGTTAAAATTGATTGAAAGTAAAAGGGTGTATATATAAAACAAGCAATTTGAAGATGTCAACTTGGGCTCTGGGAAATTGCTGGGCACTTCTTACTATTTTATGACATTTTGTACAAACCAACTAACAAATCTATTGAAAAAAGCAATGGAAATGTCTTAATTACATATTTAGGAAATATAATTTATGAATATCTGACTTTATACCTGCTTGTTGCACAGTAAGAACCAGGTACTGTATTCAAGCATAAAGCTTTCAAACCACTTTCAGACCTTTACTCCCGAACCAACAGGCAACCGAGCAACTTTTCTGCAAACAGTTCCTCTTAGACTAACCGCAGTGGCTGTGATAGACCCTGGTCCAACCAGAATCCTAGCGATAAGGACCAACAGTAATATCAAACATGGTCAAACTGCAGTGGCAGAAACTGAATGGAAAACACTGAGATTTAGAGCTTCAGAGGTACTGCTACTGGGCAGGGTGGCTAAGGCCACAACCAGGCTCTCAAAGCAAAAAGCGGTAGAAAGTTGATGCTGCATTCCTCCCTGTCGGCCAAAATGCAAGGGTACAACAGTAGCAGAAAAGCAGAATTTGTGCAATAGCTTCATCCAGTTTAGCAACAGTAGAGTCAGGAACAGACCTGCTCCCTTCCTCTATTCACTGCCAAACACTTAAGACTTGATAGGCTTTTGTAAAGGCATAATACAATTAGTTAAAGCCTCATAACATTCTCCTGATGGAAAGTGAGTCATTTCTCAACATAGTCCGATCCCTGCTTACTGGAAAAGTCATCACACAGTCTGGGTTAGAGGAGGGCGATCGAGAAAAGTTGTCAAAGCTGACCGCAGGTTGACTTTGTTACGAGACATTAGTGGTACTGGAGGGAGTGATAGTAAAAACCAGAGGAGGCACAAATGGTAACCTGAATAAGTGAAGGCTTTTTGATATGCTCTGCTGCAGTGGTTCACACACCATGGCTGGACCCACGGTTGCTTAAGGTGTTCAAAATCTGAGTAGAAATACACATGTTCTCTGTACTGATCCTGTCTTGAATTGTAATCTAGTTGACTTTTTTATGATGTGATGAAAGTCAATGGGAGTGTGTGTCAAATTTAAGGTTTTCATTTTATGGTTGTTGATATGGTTTAGTCATTTAACTGAAGATACAGTGTGACGTATTTGAGTATAAAAGTGCTATAAATTTAAATACGTTTAAGTTCTGATCTGGCCTCATGTTCCAACCCTGTTAGGTTTATATCATTTTTGATTACTTCAGGATGAAAAACATTATCACTGACTGGGGTGGCTGTGGCTCAGGAGGTGGGGTTTAGAAGGTAGAGCAGGTCGCCCCCTTATCAGAAGGTTGAAGGTTTGATCCCCAGCTTCTCCCGCTGCATGTCAAAGCGTCCTTGAGCAAGATACTGAACCCCAATTTGCTCTCACTGCTGGCCTTTGCCATCACTGTATGAATATGGGTGAATGTGGCATGTAGTGTATAAGTTTTTTGAGTGGTCCCTTTACCATAGATTATGTTTACAGGTAGCAATTTTTATGAAGTAAGGTGGTCAGGGTGGGTCAATCCACTGAATGTCAATGGTACTGATTTTGACACCAGAGTCCGGGGGTTCACATCCTGAGTCCCCTCTGTTAGTTTTAAGCAGCACATTTAAGAATCTGAAACCAGCCAATATTTCTCTTTTTTGCTTGATGAATAACTGACATGATTACTCTCTCTCTCTCTCTCTCTCTCTCTCTCTCTCCCCACCCCTCCTCCTGCTTTCTCTCAGGTATTCTGTCCTTCACAACGGGAACCACGCAGAGCAAGAGAAAAAGTCTCTGCACACTGACACAGAGTCCCACGAGTCCTGTTTGTGACCAGCAACGACTCCTCAGTCACATCTCCAATGACCTCGGCTCTCACACTGTCACCACAGAGTCAATGGACACACACTGCAGCCTCCACACATCCGGAGCTGAAATCTAACGCAGATGCTACGAATCCAGGAGAGCTCCAGAAACCAGAGCCCTGATGGAAAATATGACAATGCAAGAGGTGCATCTGGTTTTAAAGTTCAGCCAAAACTCAACCCATGGTCTTTAAAGGTGACAGGGACCTAGTGGACTGGAACCAAACCAGTTCTCTGTCTTTCTGTAATGCTGGTTCTCCCGTCTGCAGGCCCACAGAGACTGAGCTGTCCCAGTCGAACTGAATCACAGCCTAAATGCAACTGTGATCTCATCAGCAGGCCCGCTGGTAGCTATCTGTGCGGTTCAGCTTGTCTTGTGGAGAACAGGCAGCTTCAGTGGAATGTGTAGGAGAATTTCACAGCATGAGATGTGATTAAGGACTGGGAGTCGTGGAAGTGAATTGTGTTGCCAAAGCTATTTGATATTATATACAGAGGACCTATTTCTGATTATAATATGATGCTCCCTGTTGTTTTCCAGTACAAAATCAGAAAGACTGACAATAGATTTTAGAAGGTTGTTCCTTATAAAACGAGCATAAGTTGGCAAATGAGCTTTTAAAACAAGTGTTATTCATGAAAAGAGGCAGAGCTGAGAACAATATTTCTTTTTCTGAACATCACATGTTAAACATCACGTGTCTTACCCTTAGACACAAAGCTGAAGAAACTGTATGTGTCCCAGGCCGAAGCTTTCCAGCTTTGCTAAATCCTCTCTAAGCTGAAAGGAAAATGTGGCTGCAAGGCTGTGTTAAATCCTTGACCTAAACTGTTGAAGTGCATTATTATAGAAGCTGCTAGCTCACACTCCATCTTCATCACTTTATGAGGCTCCATCTGAATCATCGTTTTCCACACAATAAGAAGTTAGAGGACCTCAACGCATAAAAGATACTCATGAATAATTTAACAGGCAATGTGATGATGTCGGAGCAATATGTGCATGGTTATGGTGTGTAGGGGGGGTGTGTGTGTGTGTGTGTGTGTGTGTGTGTGTGTGGGTGTGTGAGTGTGACTACATTTACAGGCTTTTGCAGTCTCTGTATGTGTTTCCATGGTGATGCATGCTTTCATGCAAGTGTGTCTCTGAATGCATATGTACATGTCCTCATGTGTGATGTTAGTATGTATGTACCCTTTCCCATCATCCTAAACTGTGCTGCCATCTCAACACACCATTTATTCTCTCCGTCCCTGCTCACCTTGGAGCCCATCCTAAAGAATGTATCAGAAATGTTTCTATTTGTTTATATTCATGGAAACGGAGAACACTAAAGCCAACTGTTTACCTTTACCCATAATCCAACTCACTGATAGTTCATTTCCTCTCATTTCCCTTGCAGACTGTCCTGTCTCTGTGTCCTACAGTGGCTGTGGCTTACAGAGTAAAATTGTATTCAAAAGGCCACTCACCAGCCGTTTCAGTGCTCTTTTACGTCATCTTGTTTCGTCTGCTTCTTTTGATTTTCTGACTGGACAACTGGCAAAACCTACCGCTTATCTTGATGAACCAACTCCGAATGGATGGAAACAAGCATTCATTCACATTTTCTGTTATTGATTGAAATTCGGTTAAAATTTGTGATATCTTTGTGTGCTGGATGTGCAAATGCACTACTGATTGCTAATAAATTAGCCATCAATTTATAAACGATATGTCAGGGCTGTGTCTGTCAAGCGTATTGTGGAGCTTTTCTGCCCCCAAGTGGTAAAAAATAACTATGGCTACTCCAAGGCTGGACCCAGTTTAACAAGTCACGGTTCAGAGGACACATCAACTCTGTCATTGGGGTAACAAGCAGCTAGTTGACTTTTTGTCTTTGATTGGTTGTGATTAGTACTTTTCGCAAACCAAATTACCCCTTGGGTACAATAAAGACTATCAAATCAAAATCAAATCAATCTAGGCATGCTACTCTAGATTCTCACCTAGCCAGGAGCTAGTGAAAGGGGGGTCAACTGGTTCAGTCAGACCATCAGACCTTATGTACACTTAACAATAGGTGAGTTCACTTATGTCTAATATGTTAACGTACCAACATTAACATATAAGACATATGACATACATTCCGCAAGCAACTGTTTATCATGCTGAAGTGTCCTTGAGCAAGAGTGTGTAGTTTGGTTCGTCATGACAGCCACTGTGGTCAGCTTGGATTGTGTCAGCTACAATGGATTGAAATGATGATTCACACTGTCTATGTGCATCAAAACGTCAACAGAAATTTCTCAAACCTTTCCGGGAGCATAATCCAGTCCTCTGCTGTCCATCTGTATGCTTTTTTGAATTTTTGTAACAAAATACAGCAAAAGATGGGTTCTTGTAAAGTGTTGGATTATCAAGAGGGTAACAAAGGAGCAGTTATATATATATATATATATATATATATATATATATATATATATATATACTGCTCCCACCAATATTCCACTATGAAAACTGGTCAGCATTGGAATCTAGACTATAGCCCCTGACTGGAGAAAGAAACCATTTCCATTACAAACTGCTTTTAAAGCATACTAGTGTTGTGTTTGACACTCAAAATAAGTATTTGGGATGGAGGATCACTTTAAAGCTCATGGAGATTCAATGTTTTATTCAAGGACACTTCAGCATGATGAATGGTGCCATAGTGATGGCTAGGAATGCCCTTACATGTACCTTGGCTAGTGGTCAGAGTTCTGGTAGTCTGACATCCCACCACCTTTATTAACACCAGTCAATAAAAACACACCAGGAAATGGCTGCTTATGATCCCACCAGGAGTCAGTCCATGCGGTTACACTCGACTTTCCAAGCATGAAAAATGGTTAGCTATCAGATGTCAATATCTTCCCCCTTCAACCTTTAATCCCTTGCAATTTCAAGAAGTTGCCTGTATGTCCTGTCCAAGTGCTCTTGGAACAGGACTAAAGCTTGGGTTGTTTCAACAACTTGTTACTAAACACTAAATTCACTAAAAAGGAAAGTGCAAAGGCCATGTAGACATCAGCGAAGACAACCAGAAGACTGTATCTCAACATACAGCAAAAATTAATTTAGGAAAAAAGTTCTTATACAGAGTTTACTACATGTATGCTGAATCTTTGTGGCTGTTTTATTATTGAATTTTCTGCAGTGCAAAGACATTTTTCAGCACCAGACAATAGACAAAGAATGGATTATGTTTCCTTCGTTGATGAACACGTATATACATTTCTTTGTTTTTGTCTTTTTTTCCCCCAAAAATTGACTCCTTCAAACTGTAACTTCTTCCATAGCTGAAGCACAAGCACTTTTTGTGATTTAAGGAAGGATCAGTTTAGCAGTGTCATCACAGTTAGCCAGGTATATTTTAGTTTAGTAAGTTTTTTTGAGGCAAGTTGATAATTCCCCCCAAACAACCTGTGGATGTTCCTTGAGGTGCATTTACATATTATTTATTGTCCAATATATGTCCAGTGTTCTTAAGATAATTATGATCTAGATTACCTATTTTAATATTAAACTCTGTGCAAACTATGCATTAGAACCAGTTGCCTGTCAATTTGTTCCCCCTTTGCAAATCCTCACTTGTCAATGTTCAGTTTTATAAAATCTGTAATGACATTCCTTTTTCTTAGAAAATAAAAATAATGATTTTTCATATTACATTAAAAAGCTCAAAATTGTGCATATTATTTATCAGTTAACTGAATGGAAGACATAGTTATTCAATAGATGTTTTTACTAAAAGTGTCTAATAAAATGTTGTGCTCCCAGGGAAATTGGCCTTAACTTCCTGGTGATTTTGGATTTCCAACATTGTGGAAGTCAGTGAAAGTTGGTAATGAGGCCCATTAATTATTATTATTTTTTTACTTTTTTTTAATTAGAACAATTAAAGACAAACTTAGACTGTACATTTTTCTTTGGAGTTTTGTTTTCTACCATCGTAACTGTTCACAATGGTGCACTTTTCTGAAATAGCATCCCAGTGATCGACTTCTGTCCTTGCTCTGTCTTCATTAACATGACCTCTCACTGCAGAGCGAGACCACAAAAGGCTGAGAACAACGCCTGCAGAATATAAACTAAATGAGACACAGTTCCACAGAGACCTTTTCGGTCCTAAGAGGTTGCAAATTCTGCAATTGTTTTTGTAAGCAATTACGTTCCTGTTTCCAGCATCTTTAAACCCACAATTTTCTTTTCAAACAAATGTCTGTTTATTGTTTTTGCACAAGTATAAAAGGAGACAGACTTTGTGGCTTGAGTGTCAGGCATTTTAGTATTTTTTTTTTTATTTCTGCCTATTTTTCTTTACTTTGGTGTTCAATAGCCGCCCCCTTCCACAGCTGCAGTTTCCATGACATCTGTGGAAGCTTAATGTCAGGCAGTGTGTGTGTCCATTCTAGTGTGGAGATGTTTTGTGTGTGTGTGTGTGTGTGTGTGTGTGTGTGTGTGTGTGTGTGTGTGTGTGTGTGTGTGTGTGTGTGTGTGTGTGTGTGTGGGAAGCTCCTCAACAGTCTAAAATTAGGGAACTCAAGCTCGCCTACCTTCATGAAATTTAATGAGCCAAAAAGTGTAAGGCAGGCCATTTTTGGAGATGTACCAAACACATCACGAGATACAAAAAAAAATCAATCTGAGCACGCTCCAGTTCTCCAGTTGGGAGCCGTCTGAGAGATTCAAGGGGTCATAGTTATTTCAGGTAGAAGGGGGAGCAAGAAGAAAACCCTGCTGCTCAAATGGAACTACTTTCAAGTCAGAAATCTATTTTTCGTTTCACTACTTCAAAGAACCAGTGAGAGCATCCGTCCGCCTGTGAAGGAATTTGGATTCATGTTTTGTAAAAATCCATCCCCAGTCCTTAAACTCCTAGGTTCATTCATGTTATGTGAGCCTGATGTTTCCATGTGATCATGAATACACAAAGTCAGTGCTGAAAACACAGGCAGAGTGAGCTCAGAGTGCTGGAGGTGAGCTGTGGTCAACCTGAATTCTTTGCCAGTGTTCCTCAGAGAGACACAAGCTGTCTGCTCTGACGCCTGGCTGGCTTTCCAAAATCACTGTAGGCACAGAAATGGTAGTTGTCATGCCAGAAAAATGTATGAACCCTTAAACAATTTAAAACACATAAAAAGAACGTCAGTCCCTCAGATAGTTTCATTCTAAAGCGGCCATTTTGTAAAAGAAGCACAGAGGAGGAGCTTGGAACATATAAAAGTTTTTAAGCTGATTAGTTAAATCTCTACTTCAACCAAACAGGATCTAGAATTTAAAAACAGCAATCTTTGGTCCCAAAGATTGAAACACACAAGTGATGATCACTGTTCTGACATTGTCTTATTTTAGTTTTTATATTTCCGTTTGCCTAATTTGTTCACAAAGCAGCACAGATTGCAACAAATAAAAAAAAACCAACATTATTGCATTGCTTTACAAGAATTCAGACAGAATATTAATAAGGTGCACTACAATAAGGTGACTTTGGGAAGCCTGTCTAATGTAAAACCATAACCTCTGGATGGTTTGGAGCCAGAAAGCAGCACTGCCACTGATAGATAAATTAAATACAGTATCCTAACTCGTACGACCCTGCAGGACTCAGTTCCTTCAGCATGAAGCTGACTTGGTGATTGGTGAGGGTTGCATTGTTAGATCAGAGAATGGAAGATTTAATTCCATTAAGAATCCATTCTCTACCTTCAGCAGAGTCTGTAGCCTTTAAAAGCCTTTTGCCTCCTAAATATCCCATGATACATGACCAATTCATTCCAAAATAAAAACAATGTTTGGAGAAGAAACTGATGCTGTAGTCGATGCTTCAATATTTATTCAAATACAGAAACAGAGTCAAAGAGTTCATCCAGAATAATCACCAAGTCTCCGGTTTCATTCAGTTTTGCACATGCGACTTTTTTTCCAATGCTGGATTCTACACTTCATGTAACCTCACAGGTAATATTTGGTACTGAAGTTCTCAAACAGCCTCTTTGCCTTCTTTATTTGCATAATGGAAATGTCCCTTGAACATCTTACCTGCCTTCTTAAATGTCAGATGCAGCCACTGCCTGAGTCTTACTTTGTAACTCATTTTTTGCTGATTCAGACAAAGAATTTTGCCAAATTTCCAGCTGTCAGAGGTTTCAATGAGTTTGTAAATTGAGAGGTTGTTGCTTGGATGTACAGGATACAGGACTAATTCAGCATTAAGGAAGGAGTTACACCAATATAAATGTGGTGCAAAAAGAAGGATTTTGACAATGGCTGCCATTTGTGCAACTGAGTTGTATTCCCTGTCACTCCTGCTCTGTATCCCTTCCATTTCTTTTTTAATTTATTCATTTATGTTTGCAGCTTACAGCATGAATGTGTATATAAAGAGAAAAAAAACTCCCATAAACTGTCCAAAGGAGACGGGGAAAAAAACAACTTTTATAAAACTCTTCAGTATTTATTTTGACAGAACAAAATGGGTATTTTCATGTATTAAAGAACATAAAAGGCTTCTCTTTCTGGGAGCTGAAATGTGTATGACTTTTTTCTGTTGCTATGTGACAGTTCAGATAAAGGCTAATTAGAGATTAAAGAGATGTTGATAATCCTGCTGTTGACTTTCTTTTGTGACTTCGATAAAAGCACTCTGTGTCAGTTAGCCCGCTGATTAAAATGTCACTGAAGTGCTCACTTCACTCAAAGGATTCCTGTTTCCTCGCCGAGCTGATCCACGTTTCTCTCTTCCTCTCTGTTGACAGTTCAGAAAGAAAAGCTCAAAAAGATAAAGCACAGAAAGGGATCTTTCTTAGCAGAGATGAGTGGAAGGAGCACATTCTTTGTCAGGGTGAAAAGTCTCACTCTTTCACTTCCAAATTAATTTTGACAATTTCTGATTCTGCTCTGTGGAGCAAATGAGAAGAAGGTTGTTTAGCTCGTGTTTAGGGCTGTGACCCATTCATTTCATTCTATTGATAGTGATTCAGTTGATCAGGTTATTGTTTAAAAAATATTCCATTTCCAATTTTATAAAATATAGAAAAGCAGCAACATTTGAGAGGTTTCTCACAGCTTTTGTTGCTAAAACTGGGTGGAAACAATGAGTGTTTTAAAAAAGCAACTTGCATTGCACAACTTATCCAAAGTCTTTAGTTCGAAAGTTGTGTACTGTAAACACTGTTGTACAATATACACATCCATTTTCATTTTCTTTTTGTTTTAAAGTCATTCGCTATATCTCTTTTGTTTGTTTCAATACATAAGAGAATCCAGGGAGAGCACTGTTTCAAGTAAGACGTGTGTTTAAAGTCTGCAGCGTATGTTTGTTTAGTTGCTGTTCTCGCTGCTGTTCAAGAAACGGACATCTCAGTGCCGACCATTCGACTTGGTATTGCGAGACTAGATCTGGGCAAGATTTGAAAAGATATCCATTCACTACCTGGAGACAAAACCTGCTCACATTGGACAGCAGCATATAAGAAACCGGTGTCTTTTATACAAAGGCTGCACATCTTTCTGTATATTTTGTGGGATTTATGACTTCATTCAACTGGAGGCAGTAGAGCTCTGACTAGAAATGACAGGACTGAGATGAAGGACAACAGGCAACAAAAGCGATTAAATGTGAGCTTCTTAAACCGCCACCCAGCTCTTTTTTATTCCAGAAGTGCACACAGTCTCAATCAGAAAGGGTCCTGCGGAGTGCAGTGGTTTGAAGGAGAAACTATCCATGGGGTAATAATCATAGAGGATTAGGGTGAATTATTCGTTTTGAAATGCTTGGATTTAAAGCAGTACAGTTCCTTTTCCTACAGTTTTATATGGAACATTTACATTAGTAAGTGGAAAGAAAATAGACTGAGCACAGGCACCAAAATAGGTCTGATTTATGGCACATTAATCAGAGCTGAAGAGTGAGCTGTCACACGGCTCGTCTAGACAGCTGCAATGGTCCAAATGGAAGTGTATCTCCTCCTTAGACGGATATATGAAAATATGTGACTGAATGCGTCCAATGTAAACAACTTGTAAATCTCTAAACCCTGCTAGTGGCACTTACAGGGAGAAACCTTCATTATCGTTCATTACACACATAGTCGACAGCAAACAACATACTCCAAACCTTAGCAGTTCTATAGTTAAAATGTTACATTAAGGAGCCAGAGGAAAGGGAAAGAGCTCATTAAAAATAAAAGGGTTCAACCTTTTGAAGATACAAAAATAGGATTTTCCTCATTTTAGTGGCACTTAATTGTCAAGCCTTTATATGACCTTCATCAATAAACAAGACCATCAGTCAATAGTGGACATTTAACGCCGTAATGCCTGCAGCCAGGTTGGATTCCCATTGAAATCAATGAAACAGGGATGCCAGAATCAACAGAAACGTGAAGTTTCTTGTTGCTGCTTTAAAGAAGAAGAAGGAGAATAAGAGCCTTTCAGTCATTATTTTCATATACTCTGTAATTTTAAAAATTACATTTCTGAACTTTGTCCTCTGCAGTTGACTCATCCAATACATAGGGAACAGTGGGAAGCCATAGGCATCCATGGAGCAACTTGGGGTTCAGTGTCTTTGCTTAAGGAAAACTAAACCAATTTAGTTTTTCTTACACACTTTGCAGCCCCATTCTCCTTCCCAGGTCTTTAAATACAGACACCAGCGGTGTTCAGTTAGTTGCAGTCTGAAACTACACTGCTAGATGCTACTAAATCCTACACACTGGTCCTTTAAAGAGTTATGACTCAAATGTTTCAATTGTTTTAACATTCATTCTGGCACCAATATAAAAGAAAACCCACATTATCTCCTGAGCCTTAAAATATGGAAATGTTCACTGTCCCCATTCTGTATTCAGTTTAGTCTCCATGTAAAGAGAAAGGAAAAGCTCAGAGCAGAGCAGGCTGTGCTTCTATGGTATGTAAATTAGCTTTAGATGCTATCTTCCTCATTTGTATTTACACATATCCTCCCTGACTCTTGCTGCGACGCATTGGACACTGTCCTAACTGCAGGAGTAAGCAGTTCTCCTCCCTGTGGAACTCATCAAGACACAAAATACTAAAAAATGCAACTGCTTCCTCCAAAGGGTAAATATGTTTTTTCTGAAGTATCGGTTTCCAGCTGGAGATTTGCTAGGAGACTCAGGAGAGTCTGCCGGCTTTAGATTTTTGAGTAAAATAAATGAATGGGTATTTTTGTTTCTTTTCACTGGTGAAACCTGGTCATGATTATTTGTATTAAATAATAAATGATACTGTAGTTGTGTAATCCTTCACCGTCTCCTCTGATAAATTGTCATCCAAGAAAAGTCTCTGACAGTGTTTTGGTTCGAATAAAATGAATAAAAGACCTTCAAAGTGAAGAGAATAAACTAACTCTTGAGTGCATTTTTTATGAAAAATATATAGCTTCCAAACTCATTGCTATGCCTCAACTCTCTTCTTTCAGTGTGCAACCATTCATCTTCAGTGGCACCGTGATGAGATTTGCAGATATAAAGGGAAAGATTTCACCAAGAATTCTTGACAAGACCAGGTATGAGGCCTCGGTGAGACCTAATTTTAATAAATGTCACATCCAGACACATGGCACCTATGAGAACGTCACAGTGGTGGAAGGAATACTCAGATCTAAGGCATAAATAAATACAAGTTAAAATCATGCCCATGTCCGAGTGTGAGAACCCTTCAGCAACACCAGTACTAAGTTGTCTAAACTTACTTTAAAAAGTTGGTTCTAAAGTAAGACTATTTGTAAATAGCTGATCATTTGCATTATTACATATATACATACATATATCTGATATTAGCTGGATTTCTGTTTCTACAGTGGAGTGTTTAACACACAGCAATAGCTACTTGGAGAGCTCTCACTTTTTAGTCACTATTATTTAGAACAAATAAGTTATGATTTTGCTTGTTAGTTAGTCTGTTTAAGCCTGAGCCTAAAAAGCACTCTGGTTTTTCACTATGTTGTGTTTGATCTACCACGTTCAAGTTTTCAGTTCAGTGTGATATCATGGGACGGCATCAACTTTTAAGGACATGTCATGTCATATATATGCCTTTTTAAGCTTTTCTCATGTCATTTAATGCCATTACAGATAGAACATTTTATGAGTGCGCAGGAAAGGATGATGCCAGGTGACCTTTGTCATCATGGTGACAATAATAAAGATGTGGTTGATGTTGTGAAATTGTTGCAGTTCTGGGTGAAAGTCCTGTGTTTGTTTGACCCATCTACCTATCAACCTCCTCCAGACATGGACTTTCTCACTCTTTACACTACGTCACCTGACATTTTTGTCTACATGAAATGTATGCATAAAAAGACACGCCATCTCGGCAATATAAGTCTGTAGATACTGGCGTGAAAAGACACACGAAAAGCCAAATATGCGCTGTGATAACACGCACAACTGGTTTTGGTGAAGCATGCATTAACTACTGCATATGTGGGTAAAACAATGGACAAAACCACACTAACATTATATATCATCTTTGTTTGTTTTTCCATTTTGGACACCCTTACAGAGTGTGAATGCAGATGTGGATGCAGGCATACCCAAAAACCTGTCACAACTCCAAACAGACAGTTGTTCAGGTATCTAGGAGCTTTAGCAAACACACAACCAACAACTCTGCGAAAAGAATTTGGACTTGTTTCTATTTTCCTGTTTTTTATTGACAGTCGATGTGAAGCTGTAATCTGCTGGCCAGCAGGGACGCATCAGTGCAGTAGAGCGAGAAACAGAGGAATTACAAGCTATTGGTTACTGATTTCAAAATGACTCACAAACAAGTCAGTGAGCTCAGTGCAGGGAGCGGAGAGCCACACGTATGCAGACCAGCATGTTCAAACATACAAACACATTCACATAGGGATGTGCCCACATGCACTGATATTTTTAATTATTAATTAGATTAATATAAACACATGCGCGCAGACTATCATAAATAATAAAGCTCACTAAAATAATAATGAATAAATACACATATATTACTCATCATTCGACGGAAAGTGATTCAACTTTTGCTTTCGTTCTACAGACTGAACTTTATAGCTCCAAGTTCAGCTTCACTTTGCTTTGGCAGCATGTTTTTGGATTCAGCTCAGTCGGAGTCTATTCATCTCCACAGACCATAACTTGTGCAGAGCGTCGACAGAGACGGTCAAACCTGGAGAATAAATATCCTCAGAGAAACATACATCATTCAGGGCAGCACTTTTTACAAAGCATAAAGATGTATTGTGCTTTGGTTCCCAGCAGTGCTATAGTTCTTGAGATCGGTCTTGAGCTTGGAATCGACTCAGTCTTATCCCGGGTCTCAGACAAAGAGGACTCTGGATTTTATTTCAAGACCAGTCGAGGCCACAACTGCAGCCATATCACTAGATGGCCTGTGCACTGTCTGATTTATTTGTTAACATCATTACTGTGATTGGATGTAAATGTACTGCTTCAAATGCAACCAAACTCATTTCTAATTTGACATTTTTGTTACCAACTGTCGCCCTCCCCGCCCCCCTTCACATGCACAGTCTGAGAAAGTGAATGGTGGAGACAGGAGAAGAAGCTGATGCTGTCTGGGAGGAGACGTCAGC